ACAGACGGACAGACGGACAGACGGACATGGATAAATCAACTCAGCTCGACGTTCTGATCATATAAGTATACATTTTAATGGGTCTATCTCTTTTTGTTCTGGTACTTACAAACATCGGACCAAAGTTATAATACCATTTCATGCTCATGAAAGGTATAAAAAAATAAATGCGTACTAGCATTTTCAATGCGAATTCAATTTAACAAGAACGCAAGAACGTGGGTTTGCAACTTCATCTTTTCATCAATCATGGTTTGCATTTTAGTGCATTTAAATTTGTAGATTCTTGTAAATTCAGAAATTTTAGTTCATAAAAAAGCACTAAAAAGGGCACTAGGCACTAAAACATTTTTTTTGGCGTTTTAATTTTCAAAAAGCACTAAATCTAGTGCTTAAAGCACTAAGTTGGCAACTATGATCGAGATGGTGATCACAATTCGTGGTTATTGGGCGATGCCGGGTATGCTCTGGAACCTTTTCTATTAACACCATATAGAAATCCAGAACCACGGTCTATACAACACGCGTTTAACAAAACACATTCTTCGGCACGTAATATAGTTGAACGAACAATTGGGGTTCTTAAAACTCGTTTTCGGTGTTTATTAGGAACCTTGCAGTACAAACCAAAAAAGGTTGTGAAAATAATTAATGTATGTGTTGCCTTGCATAATATTTGTCGCCACTATAATCTTGAATATGACTATGATGAACCTGAAGAAAACGCCAGCGAAGTAGATAGTGAAGTAGATAGATTTGTACCAACAGACATTAACTTCCAAAGTGAAGCACAAAGAATTAGAGACGAAATTGCGAATATTATATAATATTTTAATAAAAACAAGTATATTTAATAAAAACAAGTATTGTAATTATAAACAATTTTCACAAAAAACTAAACATTTTAAGAATTTTTACTTTTTTCAAATTCGAAACGTTCTAAATCTAACTCAAGCTGTCGCAGTTTAATTTGGTTTCTTTCCAGCAATGCTTCTTCCACTTTTTTATGGTGATTATTCATGTCGCTGCGGATGTTTTCTAAAGTGGCATTAATTTTGTCTAAGCCGCGGTAAACTCGTCTGACGTCGGTCTCGATGTCTTTTTGATTTTTCGCCAGCGCTGCTATGCTTCCAGAAAGGCTTTCATAGAATTTATTTTCCGTTTGCATGAATGCCTTCACGGAATCCTAGAAATATACAAAAGGTATAATATATACATACATACATTAACATATACACATATATACATATGTAAGTATTCATATTTTATTTTGTAATTTACCT